TAGCATTTTAGATTTAATATCATGTTAAATGAACTACTGGTCTGAACTGTACAAGAGCTGAGCACTGGGAATCAAATATCCTAACAAGTATGTTGCTGAAGTATTTAAAGTTACATATAACTTGTTCAGACTACCTTGCAGTATAAGCAGCTCTGCTATGTGGAATATGAAAGAGAGTGTGTGTTACTCCAGCTTTGGAAAGGAAGCGTAGCAGCTGCTGAATAGCTGATGTAATAAATGCTATAAAATAACCATCCCTTTGGGTGACTGCCATACTTAAATGGCCTGCTAAAAATTAGGGAGGAATAAGGTGGTGTCTTTCTAGAGCACATTAGGTGGATTTTTCTCAAATTTTTATCAAAAACACAAGTTGTTCTCTCAGCACGCTAATTTAAATCGGTGTTTATTCCCCCCCCCCCACACACTCCTCCTTATTCTGGAAAAAACTGCTGCACAAGTTGTCTGAAGCCATGTAAGTCTTTATAAGAACAAGTGATGGACACAAGCGCATCATTGCAACTGATATTTTTTTTAAGAGCTTGAAGACTAACAGTGCCTGCAAAACTGAAAAAAAAAATGTTTGCAATTCTTTTGGACACTCGAGATGATACTGTAATAATTCAGAAGTCTACTCTAACTGTGCTGCCATATTGAAGCATGAGTATGCTGCAAATATCACTGGAAATGATTAGTTAAGAATTTCAGTCGTTGAAAGACTTGAGCCTTGCCATCACAAGCATGGGTGTGCAAGCATTATTGCAAGGTCTCAAAAGAATATAGGAATCAAGTGTTTATGATGGTGTTTCGCTTCAAACCCTCCCCCCTCCAGTAAAATGGAGGTAATGATACTGAACTGTGTAAAGAGTTTTGAAATGACTTGTTGAAAAGATGGTTTTTGTGAATCTCACTCAAGGAAGAAGGTTGTTTGCAAAGAATTTTTCCAGCTATTTAGTTAGTCTAATAAAAGAGATTAGATTTACCCAAAGAACCTTGTCTGCCTATGTCCTTAGACCAACGCAGCTACAACCAACAGCCCTTGCTCTAGGTTTGTGCTTTGCTCATCACCTTAGTAGGAATATCTTTTAATAGTGCAGGAAGCAGCATGACCAACTCCTGGGGAGGGTGGGTGG